GAAGAGGACCACCAAAAGTGGGCCCCCGCCTCACCCAAAAAAAAAAAAAAAAAAGTGGGGAGATGTTGCTTTGGGTTCCTTTCTCTTAGATTCCCGATAGACGGGCATCTTTCTGTATCCTGACGTCAGGCATGTTCTCGGGTGTGGGGAGGAGGGAAGAGCCCGGAACAGGGGCCCACATTCTGGTTTCGGCTCCTGCCCTGACCATAAACTTGCTCATAAGTCCTCCCTCGAGGTCCCAGGGCCTCATTTCCAAAATGAGGGGCTTCTCACACATGAGCGTGTATCCTGATCAGCGGGGGGCTTGTTCACACACAGATGGCTGTGCCCACCCAACAGGGTCTGATTCAGTCAGTCTGGGGTGGGGCCGAGGATCTGCATCTGTGACAAGGTCCCCAGCGATGCTGAGGCAGCTGGTCTAGGGGCCACGTTTGGAGAACCACAGTCCCGGAAGATGCCTGAGGTCCTCCTACCCTGCCTCTCAGAGATCCTGCTACCAGGGCAGAGGTGAAGACCCAGGAGCCAGAGTCTGAGAGCCCACATTCCAGACCTGGCTCTGATACTTGCCAGCTGTGTGACCTTGGGCAGAGTTTTTCAGCTCTGTCCTCCACAGCGGAAACGGGGAATCATAGTATTTATCTTATGGCATTTGGGAGAAGATTAAATATAAAGCCCTCAACACATAGTAAGAACCCAGTATCAGTGACCCGTTATCAGCAGCATCATTGCCTCCCCCGAACTGGTATGATGTCAAGTCGCAGTGACCCACAAAGGGGGAGCTTTTTAACATATGGCAAGAACAGAACCGCCAGCAATCTGTTTGCTACATCTAGACTCCTAAAAGAAAGGGCGTTACAAAGTTCCACCAGTAACCAAATGCTTGTTTTTATTCTTTGAATTTTAGCTGCTTCCTTAGTTCTCGGCAAGCTGTACAATGCACATTTTCTGGGCTGGTTTTACGCCATGTATACATTTCACTTGGCTTTTGGTAAAGGAGCCATTTATCAAACGGAGTCCATCTGATTTCCTGGATCTGAGATTTAGGCCGCCTCAGGCTTCCTTTCCTCCCCCTATAACCCTTGTAAAAATAGAATTTCCCTGTTTCCGGGGGGGAGACGGAAGAGGAGAGAATGCTTCACACATCTTTTTTTTTTTTTTTTTTTTTAATTTACAAATGCTGCTAGGTGCTTCAAAGCAGGAAATCAGCTCAAAACCCAAGATGCTCTAGACACAACAATAAAACAATGGCCCTGGAGATTTTCTGGCTTTTTCAGGCGAAACACTATTAAACCATGTTTTTTTTTTTTTTTTTTTTTGTAACTTACAAATGCTGCTAGGTGCTTCAAAGCAGGAAATCAGCTCAAAACCCAAGATGCTCTAGACACAACAATAAAACAATGGCCCTGGAGATTTTCTGGCTTTTTCAGGCGAAACACTATTAAACCATGTGGGGAATGCAGCCAAAACACAAAAGCAAAAGTAACAAAAATAGAAAAACAAACAAACAAATAAGGGTTGCAATGGGCGGGTGTCAAATTAGGTGAAAAAGCATTTACTTACCAGGCTTGCCTGTTTGTTTTGCAAGCAAAGGGCAAGAAGCAACGGAAAATGGAAGCAAAACAGATAATCAGGGCAGTTGTTAGGAAAGCAGGGAAAAAAAAAAATCAATCGCAACAACCTGGAATGCAGAAAGCACAGAAATCCCTTTTTGTTCTGAATTCTCAAGAGTCAATATTTGAACTTAATGAAACATATTCTCTTTAGTAACATATGGTGAGAATGGACAGTGATGACAGGACAGATGTCACACTGACATGGAGCATTTGTGAAGGTTAAACAGAGGTCAGGGAGCCAGGCTGGAGTCGAGGCTAGTGGAGGTTGGGTAGAAGCTGGTTTTAACTTCAAAATGCTTATTACATTCACTCTGGGCCCTGAACTGCAAGCTCTCTGGGCCTGAGTTTCCCTTTTCCATGAGGAATGGTGGGTGGGTGAGCGGAAATGAGACGAAAAATACGGGATCCAGATGAGACATATGGGTGGGTTTCCTGCCTCAAAAGAAGGCAGGTCCCGCCCAGAGCCACAGTGAGTTCCAGCCATGCCGCGGCCCCACAGCATCCTCGGCAAGGACACAAGGACCCTGAAATTGACAGTGGCCCTAATTGGCGACCTGCAAGTGACTGATGGATGACACCCACAGACATGCCGGATGAGAACAGCTCTGGGAAGGTGGGTGATGAACGGGACAGGAAGTGAGGATGGGGAGGGGGCGATGAGGAACAGACACACCATGAAGCGCCACCCCAAGTGACAGCACTGCTTCCAGCCAGGGACGCTGGGGAGGGGCCTCGCAGAGCCACCCGGAGAGTGCCTGAACACCCCCAAAACGGGAAAGTGCTCAGAGGGGCAATTTCACAGCTCTTGAAGAGAGGGGCTCTCAGGTCAAACACGCCAGGTCTCCTGGAGGGGGGTGGGGATAGGGGGGTGGCATGTGTGGCCTTAATCCCTGGAGTCAGGGTTCCACATGCTCCTCAGACTGTGTCTGAATTGAAAACACTGTTCTAACTACTGTCACCTGCAGTGTGGAAAGCATCAAAGTCCAATACTCTATCTGTCACCACAAGGACAGGTCACTATGTCAACTAGAGACTCTGACTCTGTCAGTTTTCAAGAGGGAATGTCCGCTTCTATCAAACTGCCAGCTGAGCCAGAACATTTGGTTGCTCTGGGCAGCCTGCTGTCAGGACAAAGGCTCATGTCCTCTTCAACAATGGCCTAAACGTCATCATCAAAAGTAAAAAGTAAAAATGTATTACTGAGACGCAGAAGGATGTTTCCAGATGAGCCATGTAGGTTTGAGTGACAATTTCACCTCCCAAGACTCCAGGATGCGGAAAGGTTGCCAAACAATGTGTATTGGAAGATATAAATCCATCCTTCTGACCATTTTCAGCAGCAGTTTCAGTTCCAAGGGTTTTTTTTTTTTTTTTATCTCATCCATATGTATCCATATGTTATACCAATTTAACAAAGAGGTTTCATTTGATAGAAAGCATACACCATGAGGCTGATCCTTAAAAAAACCCCAATGGGCTTCCCTTGAGCTCTGGGAGAAATGGTCTTTATTATAATAAAGCAAAATTAAAGCTTTTTTGAATGGAAAGCACTCAGTTGGAAGCTTCACTGTTCCCAAGGCTGCGGTCATATTTACCTTGGGGCAAAAGCTAGAGGTGTGGTGTGACATATCCAAACGTTTGAGATGACAAGGGGTCACCTGCTAAAACAGCATCAAGCTGTGGTTTGCAGTAAGCTTATGTCCTTTGGAGTAAAAGGTTTTTTAAAAAACTGCTATCATGGACCTAAGCAAATAAATAAATAAACAAAGATCCCACACCTCGCACCCAGAGTTATAACAGCATTTTTCAATGATGATCATCAGTGAAAAGACCTGGGCTTAGAACTTCTGCAAAAGGCCTTTTCTCACTTTTTCTTTAAAAAAAAAAAAAAAAAAAAAAAAAAAAAAAG